AGCTCAGCTGCCAGCTTCGTGGCGTCGGGCCTGTACGCCTCGCTGGTGTGCCGCCCAGATCTGTCAGTCGCCATGCAAAGGATGTGCTCGCGGGTGACCAGGTGGACCGTGAGCGACGATATCGCGCTCATCCGGTTCATGGCGTACGTCTCTGAGTTCCATGGCCTTGAGCTCGTGGGCAACCTTGGCCCCGCAGACTTGGCGGACCTCGTGATCGCTATTTGGCTGGATGCCGACTGGGCCGGCGACCCGAGCACCACCAGGAGCACGAGCGGACTATATTGCGAGCTGGAGGGCACGGAGTCTGGAAACACCTTTCCTTTGACGTGGAAGGTCTCGCACCAGACAGCCACGAGCAGCAGTTCCGCAGAATCGGAGACCGTATCGGCTTCGTCTGCGGTCCGGCACGTGGCCCTGCCGATCCAGACCGTGTTGTCCGAGATGCTGGGCTTCGTGGTGCCCATCCGGTGCCGAGTAGACAACGCTCAGGTCATCCAGGCGATCAGAAAAGGGTGCAGTAAACGCCTGAGGTCCCTGTCCAGGACACCGTTGTTCCATCGGGGTCATGCGCGAACTCTACAATGACCCCGAGGCGGCCCTTGATGTCGACTATGCGGCCACGGCTTCGCGCAAAGGTTCTGTACAAAGGTTCTCAGCCCTGCGCCATTCGTTCTGGCACGCGAGCGGATAGGCATGAGGGCGGGCAGCACCAAACATGCCCTTCACTGAGGTCACCTGGGTGATTCTATAAGGTGTTTCGTCGCGCCATGCCTGACCCGCGGCTGTTCTTCTGTCCGTTAGAAGCAAAAGGGGGTGTGAAATACTGCCCGCGGATAACTGCAGCAATTTCCGTGGCTGGCAACAGACGAACATCAGTGCACCCGCGGTGACACAATACATATTTCAATGCATTTCTCCATAGGCCTACCTGAAATTATAGTTATAGTGATACTTTAGACTTTTAGGATCTCACTCGCCGTGGTGTGACATGCGACATGCTTTGAAGGCGCGCTCGGCGGCATCCGGGTTCTCGGTGGACAGGCCAGCCGGTGCTACAGGGCATAATGCCTCCGCGAGCTGAAGAGACATGCCGGCGCGACACAGCAGAATGCCTCCGCGAGCTGAAGGGACATGCCGACGCGACAGAGCTGAATGCCCCCGCGAGCTGAAGAGACCCGCCGGCGCGTGTGGCAAGATGCCGGCACGCCGGCGCATAGCAATGCGAATTGCCGAGAGCATTCTCGGGGCAGCCTGTCGCATTCATTCTTCACACCATTGTACTATATCCACGCTCGCTTCGCGAGTCGCACTTGTAAGATTTAACTCTGTGGTGGAACCATGAGTAGGTTAGCTCCTGTCTGTCACGTCTGTTAAGTTGGGCCCTCCAAGCGTCCATCGGCCACGCGGCCGGGACAGCCATAGGCGTGAACCGAGCGACTTGGCCCCAGGAGTGTGGCTGGATTCTGGCCGCCTCCTGGTTCCGGACCGCAAGGGGGGTGGGCGTATCGTGGAGTGTGGCTGGTTTCCAGCCGCCTCCTCGTTCCGCCAGCCCCTGAAACCAAGCAGTGGCGTCAGCATGGCCACGGAGAGCACGGGTAATGGCAAAGCACCGTACCCATTTCGGTTCAAGAACGACCGAGTGCCGCGCCTCGGTTGAAAAAGGCAAGCGACTGGCCCGTCTGCTAGTGTGGCGCGCCCGCCGCCTGGCAGACTGGCCGTTCACACACGCGCGCACACGTGCACGCGCGCACGCGCGCACGCGCCCACACCCGCACCCACCACACCCACACCCACACCCACGCCCACACCCACACCCGCACCACGCACACACGCACACACGCACACACGCACACACGCACACACGCACACACGCACACACGCACACACGCACACACGCACACACGCACACACGCACACACGCACACACGCACACACGCACACACGCACACACGCACACACGCACACACGCACACACGCACACACGCACACACGCACACACGCACACACGCACACACGCACACACGCACACACGCACACACGCACACACGCACACACGCACACACGCACACACGCACACACGCACACACGCACACACGCACACACGCATACACGCACACACGCACGCGCACACACACACACACGCACAAAAACACTTTCACATTCACACACACACACACACACACGCATACACACACACGCCCACACACACGCGCACGCACGCACACACGCACACACGCACACACGCACATGCACACGCACACAGGCACACACGCACGCACGCACGAACACACGCACACACGCACACACACACACACGCACGGACACGCACGCACACGCACACGCACACGCACACGCACACGCGCACGCACAAGCACACGCACATGCACACACACACACGCACACGCACACGCACACACACACCACACACGCACGCACATGCAGACGCACACGCATACGCACGCACACGCACACGCACACGCACGCACACACCATGTTGGATTTCCAGCGTCGGATCTCCAACATCTCAGTGTTCTGAGGAGGAGTTAGGCGAAACATTCATTTTTGAGAGCGAATGTCGTAAAACAGCCCCAACATCCCCATTTTGTAAGGATGTTTCAGGTGAAGCGCTACCCCCCCCACCATGTTGGATATCTGGCGCCGGATCCCGAACGTGCCAATTTTCTGTGGAAGGCCCATGCGAAATCTACACTTTTTAAATCAACGTCGTGGAGCAACTCCTCCAACATCCCCATCGTGTGAGGATGTGTCAAGCGAAACGCCCCCGCACCCCCAACACCACTTTGGATATCCGTCGTCCCATCTCCAACATGCCATTGTCTGTGGAAGTCTCAGGCGAAACCTTCGTTTTTGAAAGTCAACGTCACAACTCCTCCAACATCTACATGTTGTCAGGATGTCCTCGGCGAAACGCTTCCTTCGCACCATGTTGGGTATCCGACGCCTGATCTCCAACATGCCACTGTTCTGAGGATGTTTCAGGCGAAATCTTCCTTCTGGAAAATCAGCTTCGTAAAACATCACCTCCACTATCCCCATGTTGTGAGGATGTTTTCGGCGATGCGCACCCCCCACGCCATGTTGGATATCTGACGTTTGATCTCCAACATTTCAATTTTTTGAGTCTGGGGCGAACATTTTCTTTTGGAGAACCAACGTCGAGCAACATCTCTCCAACATCCCTTGTTTGTGAGGACGTCTCCAGCGAAACGTCCCCCCCATCGCCCCCACACCATGTTGAATATCCGATGTCCGATATCCAGCATTTCAGTGTCCTGAGGATGTTGTAGGCGAAACCTTCAATTTTGAGAACCAACGTCGTAACACAGCTCCTCGAACATCCCCATGTTGTGAGGATGTCTTAGGCGAAGCGCTCCCCCCACACCATGTTGGATATCCAACGCGAGGGTGGACATGTGACAACACGTACCCCGCTCGCACGCCCCTTCCGGGCACATGTTTTCACGTGTAAAAAATCCGACGCTGGTAAGTTGGGTAACCTGCGGGGGACCCCGCTGTCGCCAGGAACACGGGAAAACAATTGCCAATGTATGCTCGACGAGACGCATGTTGGAGACTTCCCCCTTCCGCATACGTATTGCGAAGGCCTTACGGCTGGTGCCGCCGACCCTGAAGGGAGACGACGACGACGACGACAATGCCGGCGGCGGCGACGACGACGAAGCTGACGTGGGCCGGAGTCCTCGGGGATGCTTCTTGGGGTCTCTTCGGACGGCTCTCGGGGGCCTCTGGGGAATGCGCGACGAGACGCATGTTGGAGACTCCCCCCTTCCGCAGACGTGTTTCTACGTGCCCGACTCCTGCGTCATCTCCTCGACATTTTGCCGGTACAGGGCCGAAGGCCCGCGCACAGTAAAGAGAACCTTGGGCCCGAGCCCTTACCAGGAAAAACAAGCCACGGCGCGAGGTCCATACGCGATGAAGGCGACAGCCTTTGGGACCTCCCAAAGCGGGGATCGTTCCCGGAAGCCAGGGTCCCAGGTCGTCGAGGCAGGGATCTTTCGTGGAGGCGCATGCAGCCTCTGCTGCCTAGTGACGTGCGAATGCCGAGGCCACCAGCGAATCATGTGAGGCGTTCCAGAAACGGCCTCTCCTTCGAGGATCGAAGGAGTTGGCATCGCTTCCCCGGCGGAAGTCGGTGGAGGGCTGGCGGAAGGCGGTGGAAGCAGAACGAGGCCGCCTCCGCTGGCGGAAGCTGGCGGAAGGCCGGCGGAGGTCAGCGGAAGTAAACATTGGCCTCCCAAGGGATGGCAAGTTTTTTTTTTGTCCAGGGTTTCCCGAAGCCGCCATGTGAGGTGAGGACCCCCCTTCCGCCGCTGTGGTCGTATGCTGCATCCCTTAGCCGTAGCCTGGGGACGTTCTGTCAGACGAGGCCTTGGCAGGGTCCATTTTGATCCGGACGATCTGGGTCGATGTTGATTTCGGCGGGCTCGATCCGATTCGATCCCGATTTTCCGTCGATCACATGCGGCCCGACGCTTGCATGGCGCTGTTGCGTGTCCTGGCGCAGCCCGTTGCGATTCGATTTCGACTCCGTGCCGATGCAGCCTGATCCGACGCACGTTCCGATTCAATTCGATTGCCCGATTCGATGCTGACATCCTTGGAATCGAGTCGCAGCTGTCAATCCTCCTCCTCCTCCTTATCCTCCTCCTCCTCCTCCTCCTCCTTCTCTCTTCTTCTTACGGTCGTCTTCTCCTCGTCCTCCTCCTCCCGCCTCCTCCTCCTTCTCCTCCTTTCCTACCTTCTCCTTCTCCCTTCTCTCCTCTTCCTCCCCTCCTCGACTTCCTCTTCCCCTCATGCTGATTCCGCTGGGCGCAGATCCTATAGTAGCACAGCAGAGCCATCATCTACAATTGCAAAGCTCCCAAGTCACGAGTACATACTTTGGGTGCATGCAAGCCGTCGTATCACGGCGGAGCGTCAGTGCGTCCATGTCCTGACCGCAAGTGCCATCCGAGGTTATCGGATTGAAGGGCTCGCAGGTCAACCAGATCCAGGCACGCGTTTGCCCCTTCATTTTCTCAGCATGCTATGCTTTTTCCGATCGAGTGTTCCTCTTCCTGCCAGGTGCTGTGCGCATCCAGTGCCTTGTGCTCGGTTGCCACGTTTCTCATCATTCTCCCTAGACGGTCGTTCCGTTTCCCATGGGCCGCCAGGGCAGGTCGTCCTTTCGGCCGTCGCAGCCGTCGTCCCAAGATGGGCCCAAGGAGGGCCCGAGGCTGCCCAGGCGGGCCTCTGGACGGCTCAAGCGCGAATCCCCATGGTGGGCCCGAGCCCAGTTCGAATTTCCATCGAAACTGGGCTCCAATCTGCGCCGGTTTGGGCTCCGCTCTGGGGGCCTCGCCCAGAATTTGTCAAAATTAATGTCGAAAATTACCCAAATCGTTGACGAAATGCACATGTTTGGAAAATGGCCCACACGAGGCCGATTGTCGGCTAGAAGAGGCGTCCAGGCGACCCCCGGCGAAGCGAAAGTCATCCAACACTACAATATATATATATATATATATATATATATATATACATACACACATACATACATACATATGTATATATGTATGTATATATATATGTATATATATACATACGTGTATGTGTGTGTATATATACAGATATGTAAAAACAATCCCAGTTCATGCGCGCAGTCGGGCCCCAGAGGTGCTCTGGAGGGCCCCAGGAGCTGGCTGTGGAGGCCCAGAAGGTGCCCAGAACGGCCGGAATGGAGCCAGAATGCGGCCCGAAGGCGTCGCGAGAAGGATTTGAGCTTCGTTTTGGAAGCCGTCTTGAAGCCCCCTTGAGGCTCGAAGTGGGTCGATGGCGCAGCTAGGCGGCGGAATGGCGGAGGCCTCTGGGGTGGGAAAAAGGGAGGGGGCTAAAGCCCTGTCAGGACCTCTCACGGCCAAATCTCACAAGCCCCCCAGCCCGGTGGGCGGGCGGAATCAAGACGCTTGCGCCATTCCGCCGACGCCAAGCACTCCACGTGGCTTGTTAGGTGCACATCGGAGCTTCAGGGTGTGTGTTCAGCGTGGGCCCGAGACACGCGTCTACTGGAGCATGTGGAGATGTGAGGCGGGGACCCAGAGTTGGGCGAAGGGAGGAGGGGGGGACTGGGAGGATAAACAGAAGGACCTTCTCGTCCGCCGCGTTCAGACAGACGTGCACGCTGATCCGTGCCGTGTCCTGGTGTCTATGCTCGGTCTTGCCATCGTCATCCTTTGTGTTTTCTCCTCCCTTCGTTTTGGGGCCTCCCAGGAGCCTTCTGGGGGGCTTCCTGGAGGCCTCTCAGGGGCCTCTCAGGAGCCTCTTTGTGCCTTTTGGGGGCGCGCCTTGGCGTCTCTCGCGTCCTCTCGAGGTTTCTATGGGCCGTCTCGGTGCGCTGTAGGGCCGTCTGGCGCCTTCGGAGTCGGCTTTCGGTGCCTCTCTGGGCCAGCTTGGGACCTTCTCGGGGGGCCTCGAGGGTCGTCCTGACCGACTAGACGTAGGAGTGACCCGTGACCCTTGCCCGGAGCGACCGTTGGTGCGGGCCCACTGCTGTCCCCCGATCGCTGAGCGCGATGCGATGATGGCGTCTTGCGCGCCTGTGTTTGGTCCCCCCGCGGCCCCCCAAAAGCCGTGCACCAAAGGTCGCTCTTTCCCAGGGCCACTCTTGCGTGTAGCCGACTTGACGCTGTTTTGGGGCTGGCTCGGAGGTCTCTTGGGCCACCTTGGTGGGCCTTCGCCGGGGGGCCTCGGGGCCGGGATCCCGCCGATGCCGGCCCTGGGCCGCCAGGCGCGGGGCGCTCGCAGAGGGCTCCGAGAGTGTGTCGGGCTGCTGCGCGTCCTGGCGCAGAAGTCGGCGGGCGTGGCGGTGCCGTGCGGCTGCTCACTAGGCGCTGGTCATCGAAAGTAGGTTTTCTTGGATTCCCAGATCCCAATCTACTTCAAGCGCTCTCCTACTTCAATAATCGATCTGCTTTTGTTGTATGTTGTTATTCTCTAGGAGGGCCTGAACCCAATTTACTTTATCGCCTTCCTACTTCATTGTGGCCTGGGAGGGCCTGAACCCAATCGACTTTATCTACTTGTTCCCGCCGACGTGTAGGGGGGTATGCCCGCCCGCGGCGGGCGCGGCCCGGCAGTCTAGGCCTCCCAGATTGGGTCGCAGTATACTCGCATAAGGACAACAATACTAGTGATAGTCATAATAACAATCTTTAGTATTAGTAGCACTAATGATTGTAAGAGAAAAAGAGGAAGACTAGTACTACGAATAATGATAACAAGGATAACAATGATAATGATAAGGCAAGTCATATGTAGTAAGACGACACATAAAAAGAGCCGGCATCAACATAAATTTTCGACGCTCCATGCGGATTCCTCGGGTCGGCGCTGCCCCTGTCGGCGCCTCTGGCGCCGCTCCTGGCGCGCTCCGCGCGCCCTTTAGGGGGGGTTCAGCGCCGATCCAAGAAATTCGCGCGGACCTCCGAACAATTATGTTTATGCAGTTCGTTGCTCATCTATTGACGGTGTCGAAGGCATCGCGCCGCATCGCCGATGCATCTGCGATGCGGCCCGGTGTGGAACCATGATTTCTCCATGCCGACGGCGCCGATGCCTTCGACCCCATCTACTCGGACCCCATCTAGGAGGCCTCTAGTCAGGTGCGCGAGGTGCATCGTCGACGGGCGGTTGCGTGACCCGAGAAGTTGTCCAGCATGACGCGGGAGCCGATCCAGCACCGGGTCGCGGTAGGGCACCCTCGCTGTCTTCGCTGGATATTGGGTGGTTGAATGGCGGGATGTCGCCTGCGAGGCTTGGTTGACAGCTCACGTCTGGGATTTTCTCGAGTTGTAATTAGCGCTTTGCTTCAGCGCAGGTGCTAGTGGGCACGAGCTCGGTGGCCGTGTATCCGTGTGGCTGTGCGAGCAGGCTCGAAGTTGGGGTACCTGTGGGCCCACCCATTCGAGCCGCCTCGAGGCCTGCTTCAGCGGCCTGCCACGCATGCTCTCATGACGCCGCTCAACACGCTGGGTGTCGTGCAGTGGAAGAGCAGCTGGGTCGCCGATGTAGCCGGCGTCGATTCGGGCCTCAGAGCCCCGAAGGTGCCGCTTCAGATGGGGCGGCGTCCGATGCGTGTCGGCGGAGTGAGCGTGCCGCAGCCGTTGCCGCTGGCAGCTTCGAGGAGCTGGACAAGCAGGTTCGCGGGTGCCGGGCTGGCGGGCTACCAGATGCTCTCCTCTGCCGGGCGTGTCGGACGAGCTCGCAGCTGGCGCCGTGCTTTGCAGCGCTGGGCCTCCCACGGGCCGAATCGCGCCTCCACGGAGCGCGCGCCGACCTGCCTCGTCCCGATGCCGCTGCCGTGCGCCCCAGGGTTCGCGGCCTCCGCCGAGTGTGGGCGCAGTCAGCCGCAGGTCCGTGCGCCCGTGCCCGGCGCGCGCGAAGCCAGCCAGCGCGCGGCCCCGTGCACGTGCCAGGGGCACACGGTGTTCCTGGCCTGCTGCTGCCGCGGGTGGCACGCGGTGGGCAGCCTGCAGTCCGTGGCGGCGCAGCAGTGCCGCGCGGAGGTGTCCGTTGACGGACGTGCGTCCCCTCCCCTGCTCCTTGGCTCCCTCCCGTCTTGATTGCACCCCCCGGCAGGTGCATTTCAGCATCGGCGCTGGCGCATCCGTTTTCGACTTTCGGATCCGATTGCTGCCGTCGAGTTCCAATCCTGCTCAATCCTTGTTAGCCATGGCTGTATCTGAATCGAATTTCATCTGGCTCAATGGCCCTTTAATCGGGCTTAGTAGCCCTCAAGTTGTTCACGCAGAGACCTCCCCGGAGTTGCCTCCTAGTCAGGTGTTCAGTGCCCCCAGCCGTCGCTCCCTCCCACCTGGCCTGCGGCTGTCTGATGGTCAGAGGAGCATCGTTCACCAGGGTTTTTTGGGGCCCAGGGCCTGTGGTGTCGGGGGGGGGGTGTCTCCTTGCAGTCCGAGGGGTTGGTTGCCTGCAGTCCCGCTGTAGAGAGATGCGTGCGGTGGGGTGCGCGCCGCTTATTTCTAATTTTTCTAGGGCAGGCTGTGTCTTGAAGTGCCAGTCCCATGTCATTCTAAACCGTTCCGAATCCTTGACTTCTCGTAGCCACCTTGGTGACAGGAGCATTCAGAAATGAGCAGGTGGACAGCCAGAAGCGAGCAGGGTTTTGCTACTTACACGAGTGTGCCTGTATGACAGGCTTTGAACCATTGAGGGTCTCAGAGTAGCTCACTCATCCCTCCCACCTCCCTCCTTTTCCCCCCTGCCACCTCCTTCCTCCTCGCTCACTGCTCCTTCCTCCTCCTCCTCATCCTCCTCCTTCTTCCGTAGCTGCTGTGGCCCGAGTTTGGGATTGGATGTCACTGCCTGGAGACGAAGTTAAATTCTTCTCTTTGGGTGTAACTTTGATTCTTGTGGTATTGCTGTATCTTTGTGACCTCGGGGAGGATTTTCGACGGATTGTTGGAGGCTCCTTTCTGTTTCAGGCGGCCTGCAAGCACCTCGGGGAACTGAGTGTCAAGGGCCCTCCATTTAGGAAGACGCCAGGTGACCAGTTGGATGCCAGCAGTTTCAGGACTGACAGGAGCGTCAATGTTCGTGAATTCGGCTGGACATTCCACGGATGGTCTCTACTAGGGAACGCCTCGCTGAATGCCGCGCACACGTCGATCGAGGCAACGAAGTCTTCAGCGAATTCATCTGGTGTCCAGGATGCCTTGCGCATGATTTTGTTTATCTCAACCACAAGATCGGATCAACACACTAGCTTTTAGAATGTCAGGCAGATTTGATGAGCCGCCTACCAGTTCTATCCAGGGCTGATGCCGTATTATCTGTGTTGGTAGACGAGCGCAGTGTTGTCGGTGCGGTAGAACCTCTTGTAGAGGTGTCCCAGCAGCTTCGGCAGAAGTACGAGCAGCTGTTGGCCCCGTGGACGACCGGAACTAAGCGAGTTTATTTCTTGGAAGACCCAGGAGGGGACCAAGGCGCACAGAAATCT